AGGTTGTTCAAGCGGATCATGTGCCTTTTTTGGGAGTAACTATCTGTGTGAAAAGCTCTTTTCCACTATGAATTTTAACAATTCAAAAATCAGGGCCAAACTTACTGATGAGCATCTTCAAGCTATACTGATAGTCTCAGTTACTTCCTCACTATAGCCAAATGTTGCTCAGCTGTGTAAGAAGAAGCGCTGCCAGGTCTCTGGCAACAGTGATTAGGTGGAAGAAAGTGAAGCCTAGTTCTTGAGAACCCTAAATGTTCTTTATTTGTTATTAATACTGGTTCAGCAAATTTTAACAGTTGTACTGTATTGACTTTGTAATCGATTTTTTAATTTTTTTTTTTTTTTTTTGTGTGGAATACTTGATGCGACCCTGTCTCACCCAGACTCTATCTCCTGCGGCCCCTGGATGATTTGAGTTTTGAGACCCCTGCCTTAATACAATTCCTTATGTTGTGGCGACCCCCAAACACAAAATTATTTTCGTTGCTACTTCATAACTGTAGAATATATGTGTTTTCCGTTGGTGTTAGGCGACCCCGTGAAAGGGTCGTTCGACCCCCAAAGGGGTCGCGCCCACAGGTTGAGAACCGCTGCACAAGACAATTATTTGGTAGAGAAATACCATAAGTTATAAAAAAAAAAAAACCAATATATTCACGTCCTACTATAAAAAAAATAAAAACTTACACTTACTAATACAAACATTAAAAAAAAAAAAGTGGGCAGGGAAGTATCATGGGGGTTGGGGGGGGGGGGGGTAGCAAAAATTGGGATTCATAAATGTGCGCTACTTGAGTTCATGTTTTGTCAAGTAACTTTAGGAGATGGGAAGTTCACGCATTGCCGTCGGAAATGTTAGGCGGGCTGGATAAATATTGCACACCCCTGCCTACTGTTTGAACACGTATTCGCCTTCAAGGAGAAGCATGATGAGGTTGTTCCTGTACTAAGTGATCCCAAATGGCTCATGGACTTGGCCTTTCTTGTTGACGTTTCACAGGAGCTGAATGTACTATACAAGAAGTTACAATACCAGGGGTAGCTTGTCAGTGTTGCCAATGACGATGTCAGGACAGTCTGCACAAAACTTGTGTTATAATTCTTAGAGAAGCCTCTGCCATTTCCCAACATGCGAAGTAATCATGGATTCGGGAACACCATTCCGTATTAAATATACTGATGCCATTGCAAAGCTACGGGAAGAATTTGATCACATTTTTTTTAATACTTCAAAACAGACAGAGGGATTTTTCAATTTTTTGCAGACAATTTCTCCTTCAATTTGGAAGATGCAAACCCCCCTCCCCCACACACTTGCACTTCAAATGAAGCTGATCGATCTTCAGTGCAATTCTAAGTTCATTGAGGTGAATGGAAAAACCAGACTAGAATAAATAATTTATGAGAGCATTGCCCTCCACCTTCCCCGAGATTTTCAGGTTGTTCAAGCGGATCATGTGCCTTTTTTGGGAGTAACTATCTGTGTGAAAAGCTCTTTTCCACTATGAATTTTAACAATTCAAAAATCAGGGCCAAACTTACTGATGAGCATCTTCAAGCTATACTGATAGTCTCAGTTACTTCCTCACTATAGCCAAATGTTGCTCAGCTGTGTAAGAAGAAGCGCTGCCAGGTCTCTGGCAACAGTGATTAGGTGGAAGAAAGTGAAGCCTAGTTCTTGAGAACCCTAAATGTTCTTTATTTGTTATTAATACTGGTTCAGCAAATTTTAACAGTTGTACTGTATTGACTTTGTAATCGATTTTTTAATTTTTTTTTTTTTTTTTGTGTGGAATACTTGATGCGACCCTGTCTCACCCAGACTCTATCTCCTGCGGCCCCTGGATGATTTGAGTTTTGAGACCCCTGCCTTAATACAATTCCTTATGTT